TTGCATAATATATACGAGGTAATCACTGTGCCTGTCCTTTTTATAAGTAAAACGAGCATCAAATAACACGCTTGTGAGTCTTTTTTTTTTGTAGAACATTCATTCCTCTTGGTTCAACGATGCCAAACGAATGAGAAGATTGACAAGCGCTAGATTGTCGGCCACTGCTGGAACTGTTAGCCAGTATACGCTGACCGTTATCAACCTCAAAGTTCTGCCCCTCCACGAAGCAGGAGAAGGGTAACTCATAGCAGAAGTTGTCCACCCATGAGAAGAAAGTTCTGTACCGGGTGCCATTCTGGTATACGTTTACCGAATCCTGTATATAAGTACGCAGTCGGCAAGTGGAAGAAGTTCCTCTACATCAGTGCTTCTCAACTTTTTCAGCTTTGTGAACAATTGGGTGTTCCGTGGCCCGTACGCTGATATCAATAAAACCCATTCATTTGATCTGTTAGTTGTTAGTTAAAAATACTATGTTAACAACAGCCAACTCGTGTTCCAAGCGATTGTTGTAGATCTCAAATCTTCGTCAATGTTCAATCTGTTTCTTGTCATGGTTTTAATGTGGAGAATAGTTGAAAATCCGCTCTCGTACGTCCGTACGAAGATGCAAATGGGACAAGGATCTTCAATGTCTGCTAGGAGACTTTGGGATACGACATGGTACGCCAGAACAACTGGTTCAAATCTTTTTCACGGAACAAATCACGAGATGAAGAATCATTTCTCAGGTCCAAATATTCATCCTGTGTTTCATCAAGACTTCCACATCCATTGAGGAAGAAAACGGATTGCGGACTACATCAGCATCTTCTTGTATCAGCTCAGGAAAACACAGCTCACATTTATAATCCAGTGAGTGAATCTAATTAAAGATTCGATTCTAGCTTGTTCGCTCTTTTGTCAGTCATACTTCAGAGTCCATGGAACATCGCAACATTTCCAATACTAACCTATCGGGGCCAGTTTTGCTTGAATGCTTGAAGATCGTCTTGGAAGTGAATTAGATGGGTTTGCTGGCCCTCTGAGATGAACTAGCGATCGGCTCAAAAATTCATCAATAAAGTATTGAAAAAAAAAAGTTTACTGGCACCGTATTTTTAAGTCCAACGATTTTGATGGACAAAAATTTATTGAACAAGCTAGACGCTTATGACAACCTTCCACACTAAAATTAGCAATGAACTCATTTTTCCCTTGAACTTTCAAGAACATTTTGATTTCGTTCTTCAATTCAAAAGCCTGGTTGAGAACATTACCTTTGGACAACCAGCGCAAAACAGTGTAGAAAAGAAGATCAACGTGATCTAAATTAATTTGCTTGTAGAGTTCTTTGAATAAACGAGTTTACAGAGCTCCATAATTGACATAGTTAACAATTGTGATGACAGAATCAAGTACTTCTAACATTAGTTTCGGCAGAGTCTTGCTCTTAATGGGCATATCAAAAACCTGTGGCGTGTGGAGCAAGTTCTATAATTTCTTAAATCTTGATTTGTTACCAAGCATTGCTAGAGCGCCATCGGTATTAACTCTACTTACTTTTTCCCACTGTAAGTAACCTGATTCAATTTTTTTTTTTTTTTTAGCCATGTCATTGTCACTTTTGGCATATATTTTGACGTAGGACTACGTCTGTGATTTCTATATGGGGGTACACTTTGTGAAAACTGAAAATGGAACATGTAATAAATTATGAAAGATTTGGAACGGTAATTACTCAGCTGCCCCTGGGCCAATTTCAATAATTATACCACCAATGTATCAGAAATATTTATACGCATCTGTTAAACTCAAGACTTTACCATTTTTAGAATTGTCACTATTGAAAATGGCACGAATGTGCAACTGTTGCTATGATAGTTAAAATTATCACCGATTGCCTGCGAAAAGCGATTTCCCTAACACAGATTTCAAAGTTGAATTCCATCCGGTCTCCCCAAATGATGTTTATTCAATCACCGCGTGGTGAGTGGTGCTGTTCTCCAGTACACAACGAAAGGCTCCCCGCAAGCAGCTAGCTATCAAGGCTGGCCTCAACCGCTGATCGGATCCATTTCCAATCACCGTGTGTGGTAGTGTCCGGTCGCCGGCATCATCATCAGCAGCAGCAGTGCTTTTGACACGTAGCGTTGAAGTAGTAGTTTTTTAGACCAAACAAACCAAGACCCTCGTGGCCCCCCTGAAAAGACTTCGCGGCTCCCTGTCGGCCGCGGACCACCGGTTGGGAAACCCTACTCTACATTATCATCATGCAACTCGGACAATGCTACAACGTAGAAATCAGGAAGGATTCGACCTAAAATTCCCACAGGCGATAGTAGAAGCAGCAATAGACGATTTTCCATGGCTTTGAACTTTTGAACACCCTAATAAATAAACAGGAGACCGCTGAGATTGTTCATTAACGAATTTAAAATTGACTAGTTTTGCTCTTCTTTGTCTTTCTCATGGCTCTCAACTTCTTACTTTTAATCCGTTGATCCATCGACTAACATCCAACAGCATCCAAATACTGGCTCAGGAGCATGACACCGGTTTCCAACATTTGATCCGCTTTGTCTCTGCTTCATATTTTTCATCCTTGCTTGGTCTTGTTTATTTATATCCCTGGAACTGCTGGCGGTTCCAATTGCGTTCATTAATACCGCGGTCCAGATTGGCTTCGTTACCTCCGGTGTTATTACTTTTACAATTCTGCAAGCAGAATCCTTCGTAATGTTGCTAATACGGGATCCATTAACTCCACCAGCCTCGACAGTCAATCGAAACTCCGAGGTCGTTCAGTCAGTCCATAGAATGACTTGTACGGCTGACTGATTGGTGGACCATCAATCGTACCGAGTGGTTCTGCGGGAAAAACTGATGCGGTTGCAGACGCATGAACAGAATGGCAGGACCGTTCTGCACCGGGTTCTTGTTGACACCATACATCAACACTGCAATTTGAACTGGATTCTGCAATTCTCCTTACCTATACAATTTGCATTCGGTCCGGATCGTAAGCAGGGGTAAGCAGGCCTGCGCGACATGGGGATTCTGACTAATTTGTTTGGGTTTCCCCCAAAACATAAATCATTTCGAAACTATTGGCATCCATTATGATTTGGGAGAATCTCGCTGTAAAATCGACAAAAAAGATTTAACTGAAAAAGAAACCTTCCCCCTTATTTTTGAAGTAAACAAAGAAGTAAACCTTAGCAACGCTTGGCAAAATGTCAACACAAAGCAGTGCTGCTGTTTTATATTATACTAGCTGAGTGTGCCCAATCTTGCTCGGGATTCAATATTCGCTTGAGTTTATGCGCCAATTAAAAAAAGCATAATATGTTGTACGTAGCCCCCCCCCCCTCCTCTTATCTACGGGGCTACACCCTATGATCTCTACATGCCAAATTTGGTTCCATTTGCTTGATTAGTTCTCGAGTTATGCAGAAATTTCTGTTTCATTGGTATGGGAGCCCCCCCCCCCTTAAGAGGGGGAGGGGTCTCGAACCATCATAAGAACCTTTCCCTGCCCCAAAAACCCCTGCAGACAGAAATTCATTTATATATATATAGATAGATTCTGTGTCATACTGGTCATCGTGTGCCCTAACGTGCCGATCACTGTGCTACGGTGTGCTTCGGCACAGTGTGCAGACAATTTTAACTTTTTTACGTACTGGGAAAATCATCTCGTGTATGCCGGGAAAAACTTGGGAATATGAAAAAGTCTAACGGGACCTGCTAAAAATTACATAGAATCGCAAAAATAGCTTCGAAACGTCAAAAAATGGCCCCAAAGCACAAAAATAACCTATAATCATCTAAACACAGTGAATTTTCTACAACTCGATATTCCATATTCCGGACTGATTCGTGATTCGTGACCACAGTAGCCATGAAAACCATTTTTACTATGGTTCTATAACTCGATATTTTATGAAACAATTGATTGATCCGATCGATCTGAAATTGATTCTAGCTTTCTATTATATAACAGTTGAGCATAATTTTTGATCAACTTTATAATGTTATGCTTTCTCAGTCTGGCGGAAACTGGTATTTTCGCATTGCCCGACGTTTCGGCCCGTATTTATTTGATCTTTTCCCAAAAAAAAATACAGTAATTTCCTGTAATTTCCCTTAAAAAAGGCCAAATAAATTCGGGCCGATACGTCGAACAGAATGCGAAAATAACCGTTTCGATAACCACCTGACTCAAAAGATATATGCAATTTCGAGAACATATCCATCCAGAAAATCTCCTGATCCTAGACCGGATCGGGAATGGAATCTGTCGCCTCCTACCCCATACAGCCGCATACAGCAATACTCTGAAAGCAATTAGAGGTCATTAAGGTTGACCAAGTTGTGCAGTAATGACAGTTCAGCCCTATCGAGCTTGATTCGCTTGCTACATTGAGTGGTATCCCAATATCAAACACATCATACATGCCACAGCAAGGAATGCAAATTAGCTAATAGTCACTCGGGAACTTTGCGCTATTACTCAGTGAATAATTGTAGCTTCTACTCCCGACCAAGCAGTAGCAATAGGTAAACGATCAAGTGACATTCAGATCCATTTCAGAACGCAATACCACTCACCGAGTGACAATGATCGATGATCATTGACTAATACAAATCGCTAGAACACTTGAAAGATCTCATCTGAACTCATCTGCCTCCCTCAAACCATCATCACCCCCCTGTTCCGTTGATTGCGGCACCACATCAATCACCCCTCCAGTCGCTAACCACAGACACATTTCAATTTGCACCAGATCACACCGCACCATCCAATTTTCCGTGCCGACCGACATCACAAATTATCGACCAGCTAGAATGCATCAACCGAGGAGAGGCCGCTACAAACCTTCGGATTCAAACTAACCATTTAATACTGCATGTTAGCAACAACTTGATTGCATTCTCCCCCCGGTTAATTATTACCCCTCGCACGTAATACGATTCATGACTAATCATAAATTATATATTTCCTCTGGTTGCAGAACTTGATCGCCTGTGCTACGAGCTGCAACGAGCTGACCTACACCTGCAGCTTTTGGATCTTGAAGTGTGGAACTCTCCGTTGTAATTGCCGAGATCTCGATCTCGACTAAATTCGTCGAAACAAGTGCCGCGTGTCGTGTGATCGCAGAGTAAAAAGTGTATAAGTTTGATTAGTTCGAATCAATCAATCGTTGCCCGCCGACGTCGAGTGCGTCATCCAGGTGCGTGAAGATTTCAGGAAGAGAGAAGAGAGATCAAGTGTTGATTTTTTTGTGAAGGAAAAAGTGCTTGGTGAAAAGATTTCAAAGGGTAACGGAGGCGAAGGAGTCTTTCAAGTGGTGTCCCATCGAGATAAAATTAATAGAAGCGAAGGTCTAAATGTGATTAGGCGTCGCAGTCAAGTGTGTAGATTACCCAGCTGCGATAGAGTATAGAGAAGAGGGTCCAGCACAATCGGATTCGTTGTTGTTGTTGCTGCTGCTGCTCGCGACCACCATCGACAGTAGTGGTAGCGGGGAACGCGACTTTGCTGCGACTGGAAATCTCAAGTAGGTAATAAAAATTGTAATTTATTCATCACCCCTCTTATTCATGAACCGTCAAATTTCGAACGTAAGCCAAGCGTGGCGGCAATTATGACGCCCTTTGCGCGATGATGACTCCGCGCAATGATGAGGCGTCGCTTGCTTGATTTTTTTTTATGATTTGACAGATTGGATCGCATTGCGGTGACACTGACGCGGCTTCATTTTTGGGTTACAAGTCAAAGCAGAGTAAAAACTACGCAAGTCTCAATTATTGTGTACAGCAAAACCGTTAAATTTCAATCCGTTACATGCAACAGTTCTCGGAACTCATCACTTGTGACCCGATGGTGGTAGCGTGACCAAACGTAATCAAAATTATGATTCTTTCCGGCTGGCCCATAACTTAATGTGGTGTGACCCTGGGAGGAGAGGAGCTCCAGCACTGTGCATCTCTTTTTTTTTGTGACTGGCTGCAATTAATCCTGCCGTCCGTCGTCGGCGATGAGCGGAAGAGGAAAGCGACCCGCAATCTCCAAAATGGCACCACCAAATTTTACGACTTGTTTGCCTGCCTTCATCCGTCACATTTCATTTTGTGGCTTAATTTTATTGGCCTTTTTCCCACTGTCTTCTTTCGTTCGATGGAGATAGTAGCCGAATGGGTTCATAAGGGATTTTAAGTGTAAATGCCAATTTGCAAGCCAATTTGTTTGGATCGCAGGATTAGCTGAGTTTTATGACGATTGAGCTGTAGTTTGTTGGTCCAATATGTGGAAATTATGAAAGTTAGCGACTCCTAATTGGTGATGAGATAAAAACCAGTTTGAGGGCTTTCGTAAGCTGCTTGATTATGTTTAGAGGTCTGCCGGGGTTTGACGACCTTATACGAGCTTATGCCTGCTCTTTTTGAAGCACTTCCACAGTTAATTGAGAGCTTCCTACGCCAACCAATGCAAAAAAATATGTGTGGCAATGCACAATGATACTCTTTGCTCAGGGAAGTTGAGAAAATTTCCAACCCGAATGATTTCCTAGACCGGACCAGTAATCGAACCCGCCGCCTTCGGCTTGTTAATACCGTGCCTTTACTGATTAGGCCATCTGTGGTTCTGTTGAGAGGTCTTGCGCCCTATTATCTATTTAGTACGAAAAGACAAATGTATGGGAAATCCATTTCGAATGGAATAGATAATAGGGGTGCTTACCAGTGCTGTAAATTATCAAAATCAATTGAACACTTTTGATGAAAATGAGAAAGCAGCTATCCGCTATTAACGGAACCTCCTTTGAATGGGTGATTTCAGTTTGCTTGTCATTTGAAAAACGCTTGATATCATTCAATTGACTGTAATCTACACACAAACCGTGACACAAACGGAGCTCTGATCGACATTTCGGCGAAAAAGTTAAACCAAACCGACACCATCCTGAATTATACTAAACCCAAACCACATGTTGACCCGACATTGGGTCGACATCGACGTTAAATTTGTCTTACATTGATCCGAAATTGGTTCGACATGTCTGTTTGGGACCATTTTGCCTGGTTTCTTCTATATTTAACTGGCGTATATCAAATGATAGTGAGTGACTCAATTGACAGCGACGATGAGGTTCGATTGAGAAAGGGGCTCTTCAAACGATGGGCATGAGAGAGTTGATTTAATGGTTGCATTGGTTCATCTTCAACCGCATGATATGAAAATTAACAGCAGTGGTGCTTACACACTTAGAAATGATTACGACCGATTTCCAAGCAAGAAAAACTTCACCACAATGGCAAGACTCGATTATTTAAACAAGTCTGACAGTGTTTTAAAATTAAAATTTAGAGAAACAGCTTTTGAAATGATGGTCAAAGTTTTACCGGACGTCCAGCTGTTCAAAGTTTGGTAAAAAATACCGAAGTCGGTAAAAATTTTCAAGTGTGTATCGAATCTAGAAAGGAGACCCAGGGAATCAAAGTTGTATAGCAAACAATACAGAATCTAGGCATAGTTTGCATGGTAAATAAATAATATTCAACAAGGTAAGGTGTCTACTATCTGAAAAAAAAACCTGGAATCTTCAGGGAATTTTATTTTACCTGGAAAAAATTTGCGAATTCATTTGCCAAGCAAATTTTTAGCCATAGAATATAGTGAAGTACGCCTCTTAGGAATTTTGAAATATTGTATAATACAACCAACTTTATCTTCCTCGTTAATTTCTTTTTCTAGAGTTGGTTGGAAATGCTAACATGAAGCTTTAGTGTGATAATTTATTAGCAAGAGAATGATCTTTAGAAGAGGGTAGGTGGATAGTTCCGTTAGAGTACAGCAGTATGAAAATTGAATAGAAGTTGAAATTCAAGTCAGACATACTTCAAGTCTCTGCATACATCGTACGGGTTAGGCAAAAGATGTGCGTTTGACTTTATACTGTCGCATTAATAATGGCCCTTCGCTCATTTCCAACTTCTATTCAATTTTCATACTGCCGTACTTTAACGGAACTATCCACCTACCATCTTCTAAAGATCATTCTCTAGCTAATAAATTATCACACTAAAGCTTCATGTTAGCATTTCCAACCAACTCTGAAAATCGCTAACTTCGCGTATGAAGTAACATAAAAACACTTTGAATACTTTTTCTATTTAATTTAACATAATTGTGTTTTTAATGGTACTGGACCTAATGAAAATAATCTTGGAGAAGTTTTCAATAATCTGGCACGAAAATAAATATTCAAGACTACGGACATAGAACCCAGATTTTAAATAAATTATGGGTATTCTGAATTGAAATAGGCTAAAATTGAATTTACCTTTTAAACCCTCATGCACTCTTAAACCGTGCAGTACTAGAGTAGGTACATACCTTTCGATCAATCTCTGTTATCTCTTCTTATCATCGTTCCGAATGATCGTGCGAACGAACGTTAGAAAGTTTGTAGAGTTTTACTCATAGCTATTCTCTGTACACCTCATATAACCAGTATTCAAGAGTCAGGTCAGTTAGTTGCAAATAAACAAGCAAATCGTACGCATCCACTCCTATATCTCTGTCGGATATTCAAGCGAGCAATAAAACAAACTCATTCTCTTACACTAAGACTAGATCAAATTAGTTTCTTTTTCGTACAATGGGTCTTGCAAAACTTTCAAAGCTTATGAATTTTAATCAATAAATTGAATGAGAATTTCCAATGATCTCTGCACAATTAGATTTTTTTTTGCCAAGATTGACACCGCCAAGCCAGCTTTGCTAGCTGACATCTCAGCAATATTCTCGTTTGTTAACTGAATCTCGCATTTTCACTGAGATCCAGCAAAACAAATTGCCGAGCTAGTTGGCGGTGCCAACTTGGCAAAAAAAATGTGTAGGAATGATTTCAAGGGAATTCAGGGGGAAATATCAAAGAATGAATTTTTAGGAAATTGAAATCTGAGGATTCATTTCAAATTAGTTCTGACGAACTCCAGACTTCAGGTTAGATGTAAAAGTAATTCCGAGGTAGTTCTGAGTAGAATTCCAAAGAAGTACCAAGAAGGATTTAATGTAAATTTACAAGAGAATTCTTTGGAGCATTTCAAGGCAATTCGAAGAAAATTCAAAATGAGTTCTGACTAAAACTGCAAAGTGAGTGTTCACTCGGCTGTCGACAGAAACAGACCACTCTCAATGTGTGTCACGCGATCTTCTGTTTACTCAGCAGCAACGATTGGGTGGTCCTCCTCATTGTTCTTCATCAGCAGTTTTTTTCAGTCGATGCGTCGTCGACTTTGGAAAGCAACTATTTCGTGATGAATGTATGAGTGCTGACCACGTTTTGCGTCAATTGCTGCAATGGAAGTGCTCTGACCCCCGTTGGCGAATCTTCCATACAATGAAACCACTGCAAGAGGCTAACGTTCTAGTGAAGGAGGTCTATTGGATAGCGGAAGATAAAATGTTCATTGTGTTGTACCTTTTGACTATACTTTTAAGATGTATTGTATAGTGAACACGAGTCCTCGGCTCTGTAAAGTTAATTCGATGGAGCCTTATCAAATAAGTTTAAAAAAAATAAAAATAACACTGCAAAGTACTTTTGAAGCATGATGATACCACCCATTGTAGCACGGAAACTAAGTCCGATAGCAGTGGGCTCTCTGTTCTGTTTGTCTGATAGTCCTGAACATGTCGCTGTATGAAGGGCCAAAAACGGATTGGGTGGATCGATACACAAAGTCGCCTATACGCATCTACGGGACAGTAAAGATTCTCCTTCCAGCAAAATGATCGCCCAATTGGTCAAAAAGATGAGCTCCCAAACAGGAAGATGCCCCCAATGAGTGGGGAGAAGAGCCCGCCCTTTATCCACGAAATGTTCTCAACAGGGAGTTGGCATTCCCACTCTCCCCGTCCAAATCACTTCAATCGGGTGCCCTGATATTCCCTCCCAATCCCAGCATTGTTTTGTGTTTTGATATGAGCAATAATAAAAATTAAATATCTAAAACGATCTCACCAACTTTCGCTGTTTCTTCACCTTTCTGTCCAATTTTCGTAGTGAACTCGTTGTCCTTTTCTGCATTACTGCTAGTCGCTACTAGTCTCCCGAAAGCCTCCTATGTTATTTCTGATGTGTTCTACGACATTGCAATGTCCATTGTCTTTGTATGCTGATCTTGAGTTCCTAGTTGCGACTTATAAAATCGTCACACCAGTGTAGAAAAATAGGCATTGTCTCCGGGTATTTTCTTAACGAGCATCACTCCATTATCGTATCGCATGTGCTTCATTTTGCTGCTGTTCTTTCACTTTTACTTTGTTGAGTCCATAGTACCGGAAAAGATATAGATATACACATTATTAGCAATGCTGTGATATAGCCACAACGGAAAGGCCGTTCAGAACGGTTCAACGGATGTGAAATTAAGGAACATTGAAATTTAACACGATTTAAAGTTTTTCAATGCAAAATTAAATTTGTTGATCAACAATTAACACATTTTTCAATATGTTAAAGTCTGTTCCGTTTAGTATTTGGCCGCTTCTT